CCCGGCCCCGGGGGCCACAGGCCCCCCGGGTCCCAGAGTCCCCGGGGCCCCCGAGTCCCAGAGTCCCCCGAGTCACAGAGTCACAGAGTCCCCCGAGTCACAGAGTCACAGAGTCAGAGAGTCACAGAGTCCCCCGAGTCACAGAGTCACAGAGTCACAGAGTCCCCCGAGTCCAAACACAACAATAGTCAGAGACACAGATGGGAATAAAGTTTGGATTTTAATTAAAAATAAGGACAAAAACTGTTGAGAGGCTAAGGTTGAAAAACAGTCAAACATCGGTTCCGGTTCCTGTTCCTGTTTTCAGGTGAAGAGACGAACGGTGGCGTCAGCTCCAGAGCTGAAGATCCACGGCTGTGTGGGGTGAAAGGTCACATCGAGGACACCCAGGTCGTGAGTAATCACATGACCTTTCAGGACCTTCACAGGGACAATCAGAGGGTTCTGGAGCAGGTCACTGCAGGGGGCGGAGCCAGAGCATTAGGTCACAGCGTGTGTATGTGTGTGTGTGTGTGTGTGTGTGTGTGTGTGTGTGCCTTACTTGTAAACAGTCCCGTGACACACGATCACCGATCCGTCATCAGAGGCTGAAGCAAACAGTGGATAGTTCCTGTGATAGGCCACGCCCCTAACTGCCTTTTTATGGTGCCTGCCGACAGGAAGTGATCAATCACCAATCAACACAGACACGCAGCAGAAAAACCATTAGTGGACGTGACGAGAGGAGCGACAGTTTGATTGACAGCTGACGGTTCCGTACCTCAACATCTTGTAGGGTTTGGTGGACAGGTCCAGGTCGAACCAGCTCAGTCTGCAGTCGTAGCTTCCACAGATCACATGGTCACCTGTTGATGATGTCACACAGACACGTGAACTCTGGTCCACCGGGTTCGGTATCTGCTGGATCTGGTTCTGACACCTACCTCCAGGGTGGACGCTCATGCTGGAGATCCACTTGGAGTTGGCCTGCAGCTTTTTGGTCATCTCCTGTTTGACCAGGTTGTAAATGCGCACCGACCGCTGAGTGGCCACGAAGAAGTAGGGCCGCAGCGGGTGGAAGGATACGCACTGGACCAGACCTTTGTTCTTCCTGAAGGGGTTCTGACTCCGCCTCCGGCTCAGCTGGTGGATGAGGACCTGCAGGTGGCTGGAGTTATCCGGCATCACTGAGGCCAGGTAGTCGCCTTTGGCATGCCACGCCACCTGGTGGACAGCCTGGAACATTGACAGCGATGTATCAGTCTAGTTCTGGTACCGATTCAGACTCCGTGGGACATTTTTCCACTCACTTTGGGATGATGGATTTTGAGCCGAACACCCCGGTTTAGCTCCTCCCCCTCTGTGTCGCTCCAGATGACAGGCCCCGCCTCCTCCGTGGGCTCCTGTTCTCCTGAGAGGAGACGTTCTGAAGAGGAGACGACTTGTTTGTCCCCAAGGGAGGGGGACAGGACCAGGACCACAGAGTCCCTGAGAGACAACAACGTCAACAGTCACCACTAAACCCACACGTTCCACGTCCTGGAGGAACTGAAGAACCGTTTGGTGTGAGGGGAGACCCGACAAAAAAAAAAAACAACAAAAAAAACACCAAGACGTGAAGGACTGAAAAGTCAACTCACAAGGCCACAGCGAGGAGACAAACAGAAGGGTTGGGGTTCCAGGACACGTCCTTCACAGCTCCGCCCACCTGGACTGTCTTAATGCAACGAGATGAACAGACCTCCCAGAACTTGACAGAACCATCATCTGAGCCTGAACACACACACACACACACACACA